CTCTCCAGGTTTTGCAAACCAGTGCCCAATTCTTTGATAGTTTCCCCATGAGCGTCCAGCCTCTCATCTGTCTTAATAATGAAAGCCTTCATTAGATCCTCTAGACCACGCTGAATGGGCTGTTGAGGCTGAAATTGCTGCCTCTGCTGATTTTGGTATGCTGGAGCTCCTTGTCCCTGGGGTCTAGAGTTATTGTGTTGCCATGCATTCACAGTACCCCCAGGTGAACTCCATGAAAAAACGGGGTGCCTCTGACCCATCGCATTATAATTTCCCACAACATTTATTTCCTCAGTTGAGGCTTGACACTCATGAGTAGCATGTCCTATTCCACATATATTACAAGCTCTCACTTTGTATCAAGGCTAAGGTTTGCTTCTGTATTTCTTTAGCCATAGCATCAAGTTGTACCTTCACAGATGTGTTAGCATCAACCTGGTGAACACCTGTCGATCTTCTTCCTCAGCACTCTCAGAGGGCCATTGATTTGCATCTTAAGATAACTCGTCAAGAATCGTGACTATCTCCTCTGGAGTGTTCTTCATCAACGGACCTCCAACTGCATTGCTCAATGTTCTACGTGAGGTCTGTGTCAATCCATCCCAAAAGTCCTGGAGTTGCATCCAGAGTTCAACGCCACTATATTGACACTTTCTAACAATCTCCTTAAACCTCTCCCATGCTTCAAACACAGTCTAAGTATCTTTCTGGCAGAAGTTATGGATTTCTCTTTTAAACTTGCCCGTCTTAGCTGATGAGAAATATTTATCAAGAAATATTCTGGTCATCTCATCCCATGTTCGAATCGATCCATTAGGTAAACTTCAAAGCTACTACTTTGCATCATCTTTGAGTGTGAAGGGGAATGCCCTTAAGTAAACTGCATCTTGTGACACACCATTGTATTTAAAGGTGTTCATAATCTCCTCGAAGTCCATTATATATGTGTTTGGATCTTCGTTTGGCTTCCCTCTGAAGACACAACAATTCTAAAGGGTTTGGAGCAACCTTTGCTTCAACACAAAATTATTAGCTGCATTGGAGGTGGTCGAACACTTGATAAACCTTGATTGTAGACCGATCTAGCATAATCGCCAAGTGGTCTCCCAGTCAGAGGTTGATGTTGATTAAGTCTGAGACCCCTCTCTTCTTCATAGATATTCCGCGCATCTCTAATAGCTGCTTCCTCAGCATCCCGTGCAGCTTGTTCTCTTCGTTGGGCTGCTTGTCTCGCAGCCAAATCCACATTATATTCACCGCTTCCAGCCATGAGTTCTTATTGGTTGAGGATTGCCCACTTTTTTTGTTGCCTCGGTGAGAGTTCTTTCTGTCTACAGCTGTCGCAGTTGTTTTTCTATCTCGGGTTCCTATGGTAGTACTTCCTTCGCAGAAGTTCGAGTCATGCACCAATCTAACCTGTAACCTGCACGCAGTCAAAGAACACCAAACGTAAAAGAGAAAAATAAAATAAAAATAAAACAAAACATTCCTAAATTAGCACTACAAACTATTTCAAACACTATTTATTTCGATCCTTGGCAACGATGCCAAAATTTGATGAGCACAAAACAAACATTTAAATATGCTCGCTAGTCAAATATAGTATAATATGATATTGTATCCACAAGGATTGGAGTTAAACAGTATTATTGTAGTTTGTAGCTAGATTGCTATCCAAGATGATCAACAATTTAGATTTATGTGATTAATACTAAAATTAACTAAGAATCTAGAACTAACTGACTAATGACAATCGAAGCAAGGACTAAGCAAAGGAAGATATCAATGGGAGAAAATAGGATTTTGATAGGATAGGTGCAAGATAATTGTCTGGGATTTAACTCTAGATAATTCAATTCTAATGTTCAAGTGAGTCTCTCGAATTCACTTAATTATCAGTACAATTATTTAGTAGAAAATCCTCTCTTGATTAAGTCTCAACCTCACAATATGAACCAACTTAAGCTCTGTGAAGATATGCAAGAATGCGTAATGAATTGGTCTTTAGGAGAACCTCTCTCAATTATCCTCCTAACTAGGTTTAATCAATGATTCAACTAGCCTCTTTCGATTACTAAGAAGAATTAATGAACTCAACCAACAAGATAATGCAAAGATATCACAAGTTATGCCTCTCAATTATATGAACATGTGAATATAGATGCAACAATTAAATCATCCAAAATGATTCAATACATAAAACTAGAGTTATAATCCACAAACAAATATCAATACCAAATCCATCAAACCCTAAAGAGAACTACTCCATATATATGGATCAATTCATCACAAATATGTTTAAAGTAAAGGAAAACATAAAACGATCCAAACTCGGGACTTGAGTGAGGATTGAATGATGAACTCCTTGTACTTTTGCTTCTCCAACTCCTCCTTAGCCTCCTTAGGTCTAATATGTGTTAAAAGTTCAAAAAATAACGTTTTTCTATGTATTTATACCAAGTAGGGTCGGGCCCAGATGAAATAACCTTTTCTTAGCCGAAATTGGATATTTACTCTGTAAATAATACACAGGCACTCCGCATGGGGCGACGCGCCATGCAAGGCATTATTGGGGAAATCCAAAGAGCTAATTTTTTCACTTTGCAGGAATTTTGCACTAGCGCCCCGCACCCCGCTATGCCTGGCGCGGGGCAGTAGTGCAAATTTCTCAGAGTACATATCAAATTTTGATTTTTGACATCCAAACTTGGTCCTCAACCTCCGAACACGATCCCGACTTAATCCCTTGGGCTTTTACTCAGACTTCAAAGCTCCAAATTGCTCGAATTCATTTCATAACATCTACATAGCTTAGAATCACTCCTACAAGGCATAAAATACACAATAAGTGCAAAACACTACCATTTAAAGCTCAAAATAAGTAAAGTGCAGTGAATTAGAGTGCAATAAGCGACTAAAACACGAGATTATAGTCTACCATCAGGCCATCCGAATGATTATACGGCCAGCAGAATGTTTATGCGGCTAGCAAAATGGCCACAAAATGATTTTCAAATTATGGGTTGGGTCTGGTCCATTCCGCGATGCAATTTCGCGGTAGCAAAATTATTATGCGGCCAGCAGAATCATTATGTGGCCAGCAAAAATAGTTTTCAAAATTTGCCCCTTCTCTGTTCCACTTCTCGGCGGATCTGCGGTTCCTGGATTAATTCTGGGGTCGCATAATGGACCGCAAAAAATGCCATGTTCTGCAATAATTTTCCTCTAGCTCACCAATTACAATAGATAAAGTTCAAATCTTTACACAATTTTCCAAAAGTCAAGCCCGGGCCCGCCATGTCAAAACCCAAGTACAAGGGTAGATATTGACTACCCATAACCCCATGAGTTCAGATCCGAGTCCAATTCGACTCTCAAATCTTAAATTTTTATTTTTCAAAATTTAGACAAAAATCCCTAAAATTCCTCTTTGATTCTCATAAATTTGATGTTAAATCTCATATAGACTCATGAAATATATTTAGAAATAGATTAAAATCACCTATTTAATAGTTTGGTATGAAAATCTCAACACAAAATCACCCCCCACCAAGTCTATGGCTCAAAATATGTTAAAATGATATTAAGTCCTGAAATACAAAATATATAACCAGTTGCATATGTCGCAATTGCGACCCTGGGTTCGCAAATGCTCATGCATACACCCACGTGGAATAACCGTTGTAGGAACCCCGTGCAGGAGGTGCACTAAAAGATGACTGCCCCACATGAGTATCATGAGGTCCCTCACTAGTTGGAGCACCACGAGTAGTCTGAAGTGCGGACTGGATTGGCCAGCTGACGGAGCCTCCGCCGTGATAGGTCAGAGCCGAAGAGTAGAATCCACCAAATCCTCCAGGATCTCGAGGTCTCTTGGCCTCCCTATACTCCCTCTCCTGACCCCGAACACACTCTAACCTCCTGACAATCTCCACAACCTGCTGCAATGGAGTATCAGTCTCCAACTCCCGAGCCATGCTGAATCTAAGACCATAACTGAGCCCCTTGATAAACCTGCAGAGTCACTCACTAACGGTGAAAACCAAAATAGGTGAGTGACGTGATAACTCACTAAACCTGATTTCATATTTCGACACTGTCATAGTGCCCTGGCGTAGCTGCTCGAACTCTGTGCGCTACGCATTCCGGAGAGTTTGGGAAACAAACTCCCTCAAGAACATCTATGAAAACTGAGCCCAAGTGAGTGGGGCTACATCAGCTGTCCTACCCTCCTCGTAAGCCTACCACGACCTCTATGCTGCCCCTGACAGCTGAAATGTATTAAAGGAAACTCCTCTTACCTCCACAATACCCATGGCACTTATCTAGAAAACCCTACACATCCTCAGTAAGTGCGCTATTGAAAGTAGGAGGATCATACTTCTTGAACCTTCCAAGCCTCTTCTACTCCTCCTCTGATGCCTTTGGCTGAACCGGGATGACGGGTTGTTCTGACACCACACTCAGAGTATGACCAACATGAGCTTGTTGCTCTGGAGCAAGGGCAGTGGGAGTCTGAGCTCCTTCCCTAGTCTATGAAGTAGCTCGTGCAACCGGAATCAATCCTGCCTAAGCCAATGTACCAAAAATGCTCAGGAACTACGCTAAAGTCTCCTGAAGTCCAGGGGTAGCAACAAGCGCCTTCGGTGCCTGTCCCCCAATCAGAGCTACTGGTGGCTCCTTAGTTGTTGCTCTGGCAAGTGCTCTAGCTGCAGTACGTGCCCTTCCTTTGCCTCTGCCTCTACCTCGGCCACGGCCTCTCGCGGCTCTAGTAGGGGGCAGGGGTGTTTTCTTAGCTGACTCTGTAGTGAGTGTCCTCACCATTTGTGAGAGAATACAAATACAAAGGCTCAAACTCTGAAATCAATAAATCCGCACAATAGGAATGAAAGAAATGAAATTTTCCTAATAGTTTCGTAGCCTCTCGAAGATAAGTACAGACGTCTTCGTACTGATTCGGAAGACTCTACTAAACTTGTTGGTGACTCGTAGAACCTATGAACCTAGAGCTCTGATACCAACATGTCACGACTCATAATCCCGCCATAGGCATTGTGATGGTACCTAATAGCTAAATCAGTTAAACATGACATTATGAAATAGAAATTTACATAAATAAGAAGTTTAAAGTTGATACATGCCAACACAGCGATAACCACTACAAATCCCCAAGACTAGGTAGTACAGAGTCACAAACTCTACTGATACGTAAAGATAACTTAAAACACAATATTGTTCCGGATAGAGAATTCATAGTAATAATGTAAGGAAAGGACTCCAAGGGACTGCGGCGATTGAGTAGCTTTACCTTGAATCCTCATGATCAAAGAAGCAATCCCTACCTGAGTTTGTTGTCTCCAATACCTGGATCTGCACAAAATATGCTGAAGTGTAGTATGAGAACACTACGGTCAGTAATCACTAAGTATCAAGACTAACCGCGGTGGAGTAGTGATGAGATAAAGGTCAAGACACCTACTAGACATAATAACATGAGCAGTATATAAATATAAAGCTAATAATGGAAGCAATAATTAGTAAATGGCAACAAGGAATAAGCATGTGATAAAAATGGTAAAGTAATCAGAACACCGTTAAAGTACCAGCGAAACCAAATAAGGTAAACAAATGACAACCAAACAATCAAGTCGTTCTAACACAAGGTTTACAACAAAACCACCCCGCGGCCACTCTTGAAAACCACAAGCCTTGAGTCCCAAATCTTAAATCATATACACATGGTACCTCGTGCCTACATTATCAATCACAACCGCACGTACAACTCACCTGCTGCACGGACAACTTACGTGCCAATACCTCAATCCATCGGCATGGTCACAAACTTAATATCATAATCCGCCCGGCATGATCACAGGATCAATATTAAAATCCACCCGGCATGATCACATGCACAATATCACAATCTTTCAGGCGTGGTCACATGCTCAATATCACAATAAGAGCAGATATACAGGAATATATGTGCATGATCAATAAATGTCACATTTCATACTCCTGAACTGGTATAAATGGTATGCTACAGTGTATGCTTGTGCGAGTATACTATTACAGTCCAAGTCAACAAGTAATATCAAAGACATTGATTAGCTCATTGGAAACAACACAACAAAACACGTCAGGTGCATGACATACATAAGGAAATTCACGCCATCACACGATTATCATCAACATTATGCCCACAGGCCATCACATATCATCCTTGACATAGCCACCCTTATCTCTCTGCATTGACAATATCATAATAGCCACATATAAGCCCGTATACACACTCGTCACCCCGCGTACATGTCTTCTGCATAATTCAAACAATACAATCAACCGAAATCCTAAGGGGTAGTTCCTTCACACAAAGTTAGGCAAGATACTTACCTCAACTAGGCCAAATCAACACTCAAAAATAGCTTTTCCTTTACAATTCACCTCTACTCGGTGCAAATCTAACCAAAATTGACTTAATAACATCAAATAATGCAAGAGAAGCAATTACAATAGATAAAGTTCAAATCTTTACACAATTCCCCAAAAGTCAACAAAAATCAATACCGGCCCATAGGGTCCAAACCCGAGTCTAAGGGTAGATCTTGACTACCCATAACCCCACGATTCCATATTTATTTTTTGTTTCCAATCCGAGTCCAATTTGACACTCAAATCTCAAATTTTCATTTTTCAAAACATAGACAAAAATCCCTAAAATTCCTCTCTAATTCTCTTAAATTTGATGTTAAATCTCATATATAATCATGAAATATAGTTGCTAATTGATTAAAATTACTTACCCAATAGTTTGGTATGAAAATCTCCCCACAAAATCGTCTCCCACAGAGTCTAGGGCTCGAAATATGTTTAAATGAGACTAAGTCCCGAAATACAAAACATCTAACCAGGTGCAGATGTCGCATTTGCAACCCTGGGTTCGCAAATCTAAAGCCGCAAAAGCGAACATTTTTTCGCAAAAGCGAACCGTGAGAATCTTTGCTAAATTCGCATTTGCGACAAAAATCTCCGCAAATGCGAAGATCCTTTTCACCCAGTTGTCATCGCAAAAGCGATAGTTGTCTCGCAAAATCTAACAGAAAGCCTCTCGCAAAAGCGAAGAATTTCTTCGCAAATGTGAGTCCTTTCCCCAGCAACGCAGAATTGCAAAAGCGACTAGAACTCCACAAATCGATGGTCGCATTTGCGACCTTTACATCGCAAATGCGATGACACCAGTACCAGCACACAAAAGTTTAATAAAACAAATTTGAAACCAATCTGTAACTCACCCGAGCCCTCGAGGCTCCGCACCAAAAATCCACACAAGTCTAAAAATAACATATGAACTCACTCGTGTGATCAAAACACCACGAAAACATCTTGAACCACGAATCGGACATCAAAACGCATGATTTTTAAAAGAAAACTCAAGCTCTAGAGTTGCAACCAAGAGTCTGAATCCTATCAAACCAACTCCAAATGATACCAAATTTTGTAGAAAAGTTTGAAATAGCAAAACAGACCTATTCCAAGTCCCAAACTAAAATCCGAACCCGATAGCCATAAAGTCAAACCATGGTCAAACCTAAGGAATTTCTAAACCCATAAATTGCCAACTTTCGGCAAAACATGCAAAATCAACCTAGGGACCTCCGAATTTAATTTTGGGCATATACCCAAGTCCAAAATCACAATTTGAAGCTATTAGAATCATCAAAACACCATTCCAGACTCTACTACACAAAAGTCAAACTCTGATCAACTCTTATCACTTAAGCTTCTAAAACAAGAATCATTCTTCCAAATCAATCCTGAATCATCAGAATACCGCAACCAACCATACACGCAAATCATAATACATAAAACGAAGCTTCTGCGAACCTTAAACCAAAAAATGAATGCTAATTCTCAAAAAGACCGGTCGGATCATTACATTCTCCCCCTCTTAAACAAACGTACGTCCTCGAACGTGCCAAGACCTATTTCGAAGTCATCAAATCACTGAATGAACTCACCATACACATGCTCACAGATGATCCTACGTCACCCCAATCAACATAAGCTCGACAACACCATCTCAACTTCTTATAATCAAATTTCAACATTCGATCATCCCCTAAGGACCCGATTCCCACATAAACACATTGTATCAACCTCAACCAGCTATAATAGCGCATGCATACACCCAAAATGTATAACTACACAACGTAACACATCACCCATGTGCTCGTAGCAACACCTCCGACCATAGTAGCTGCCCATCATCAAACTCGGTACTGGTAAATAAACTTATATCAACTAGAACATTGTTCCAATCCTTCCCAACATTGCTAGTAATGTAAGAAACATGAAGATATCATAACCACTCACCCAACCAACAAGTCACACTCAATGTCACCTAGGAAAATACCTCGCAATCTAAACCCAACAAACATAACTCGAATATGACTGAATATGGAATGAGAAACACATGAGAGAACTACTGAACTAGTCCAACAGGTACAAATCCCCATCGGTATCATACTACGAATCCCTTCCACAAGGGAGAAATAAATTATATGAACTAATAACAAGGATCTCATCCTAATATAACTCCAGCGCGGCACGTCGCCCAGTCCAAACATATAGACCCACAAAAAAATACGAGGATCCCATCCTCAGCTCTGAATCACAAAAAACACGAGGATCCCTAACTGCTCTGATGAATTCCACCCCTCTGGAGTCTGGCACAATCTCTCATGATGTGCCTAGTATCGCCACACTCCTAACATCCCCTCTGCGGGCATGGCTTCTAGTACTGAGTTTGTGCCGGATAACTAGAATAACTATTGTAGGAACCCCATGCAGGAAGTGCACTAAAAGATGACTACCCCACATGAGTACCCTGAGGTTCCTGACTAGCTAGAGCACCACGAGTAGTCTGAAGTGGGGACTGGACTAGCCGGCTGACTGATCCTCCCCCGTGATAGGTCAGAGCAGAAGAGTTGAATCCACTAAATCCTCCAGAACCTCGAGGCCTCTTGGCCTCCCTATCCTCCCTCTACTGACCCCGAGCATGCTCTAACCTACTGACGATCTCCGCAACCTCCTAAAATGGAGTATCAGTCTCCAACTCCCGAGCCATGCTGAATCTAAGGCCATAATTGAGCCCCTCGATAAACCTGCGGACTCGCTCTCTAATGGTAGAAACACAAATAGGTGCATGACATGATAACTCACTGAACTTGATGGCATACTCTGATACTGTCATAGTACCCTAAAGTAGCTGCTCTAACTCTGTGTGCCACGCATCCTAGAGGGTCTGAGGAACAAACTCCCTCAAGAACATCTCTGAAAAAATTGAGCCCAAGTGAGTGGGGCTGCATCAGCTGGCCTACCATCCTCGTAAGCCTGCCACCACCTGTATGCTGCCCCTGACAGCTGAAATATAGGAAAGGCAGCTCTACTTACCTCCACAATGCCCATGGTGCGGAGAATATGGTGGCACTTATCTAGAAAACCTTGCGAATTATCAGTAACTGCGCCATTGAAAGTAGGAGGATCATACTTCATGAACCTCGCAAGCCTCTTATGCTCCTCCTCTGATGTCTCTGGCCTAATCCCAAGATAAACCGCGATGACGGGTTGTACTAACACCACACTCAGAGTATGACTCTGAGCTCCTCCCGTGGTCCGTGAAGTAGTTGGTGCAACCGGAACCAATCCCGCCTGAGCCAATGTACCAACCATGCTCAGGAACTGCGCTAAAGTCTCCTGAAGTCCAGGGATAGCAACAGGCACCTCCGGTGCCTGTCCCCCAACCGGAGCAACTGGTGGATCCATAGTTTCTGCTCTGGCAGGTGCTCTAGCTGCGGTACATGCCTCTTCTCAGCCTCTACCTTGACCCCAGCTTCTCGCAGCTCTAGCAAGGGGCGCGGGTGTCTGCTCAGCTTAACTGCTAGTGTGTGTCCTCACCATCTGTGAGAGAATAGAAATACAAAGGCTCAAACTCCAAAATAAATAAATCTGCACGATAGGAATGGAAGAAATGAAATTTTCCTAATAGTTACGTAGCCTCTCGAAGATAAGTATAGACGTATCTGTACTGATCCATAAGACTCTACTAAACTTTCTTGTGACTCGTAGAACCTATGAACCTAGAGCTCTGATACCAACTTATCACAACTTAAAATTTCTCCACAGGGATCGTGATGGAACCTAGTCTCTAAGACTAGGTAAGCCGGTTACGTACAATAGCTAAATTAGTTAAACATGACATTATGAAAGAGAAATTTACATAAATGAGAACTTTAAAGGTGGTAATCACTAAAACTCCCCAAGACTAGGTAGTACAAAGTCACAAACGCTACTGTATATGTAAAGATAACTCAAAACACAATACTTTTCGGATAGAGAATTGACAATAAAAATGTAAGGAAAGGACTCCAAGGGACTGAGGCGATCAAGCAACTCTACCTTGAATTCTCACGATCAGAGAAGCAATCCATGCCTAAGTCTGTTGTCTCCAATACCTGGATCTGCACAAAAATATTCAGAAGTGTAGTATAAGTACTCCACGGTCGGTACCTAGTAAGTATCAAGACTAACCTCGGTGGACTAGTGATGAGGTACAGATCAAGACACCTACTAGACATAATAACCTGAGCAGTATATAGGTATAAAGCTAATAATAGAAGCAAGAATCAGTAAATGGAAACAAGGAATAAGCATGTGATAAAAATTGTAAAGTAATCAGAACACCGTTAAATTACCAGTGAAAACAAATAAGGTAAACAAATGACAACCAAATAATCAAGTCGTTCTAACAAAAGGGTTACAACAAAACCACCCCGCGGTACCACTCCTCAAGACCACAAGTCACGAGTCCCAAATCATAAATCATATACACATGGTACCTTGTGCCCACATTATCAATCACAACTGCACAGACAACTCAAGTGCTGCACGGATAACTCACGTGCCAATACCTCAATCCGCCTGGCATGGTCACAAGCTCACTATCACAATCCGTCGGCATGGTCACAGGTTCAATATCACAATCCGCCTGATATGATCATAGGCTCAATATCATAATCCGCCCGACATTATCATAGACTCAATATCATAATCCGCTCAGCGTGGTCACAGGCTCAATATCATAATAAGAGCAAGTATACAGGAATATATGTGCATGATCAATAAATATCAAGTTTCATACTCCTGAACTGGTATACATGGTATGCTACAGTGTATGCTTGTATGAGTGTACTATTACAGTCTGTGTCAACAAGTAATATCAAAGACATCGAGTAGCTAACTAGAAAAAACATGACAAGTCACGTAAGGTGCATGACATACACAAGAAAAATCACATCATCACACGATTATCATCAACATTATGCCCTCATGCAGTCACATATCATCCCTGACATAGCCACCCTTATCTCTCCGTATTGACAATATTATAATAGCCATATATAAGCCTGTATACACACTCGTCACCTCGCATACATGTCTTCCACATAATTCAAACAATACAATCAACCCAAATCCTAAGGGATAGTTCCCCCACACAAAGTTAGGCAAGATACTTACCTCAACTAAGCCAAATCAAAACTCAAAAAAAGCTTGTCCTTTACAATTCACCTTTGCTCGGTGCAAATCTAAAAAATTTGACTTAATAACATCAAATAATGCAATAGAAACCAATTACGATAGATAAAGTTTAAATATTTACACAATTCTTCAAAAGTCAACAAAAGTCAACCCTGGCCCGCCGGGTCAAAACCCGAGTCCAAGGGTAGATATTGACTACCCATAACTCCACAATTTCATATATATGTTTTATTTTGAAATTCGAGTCCAATTCGACTCTCAAATCTCAAATTTTCTTTTTTCATAACTTTGACAAAAATCCCCCAAATTCCTCTTTGATTCTCATAAATTTGATGTTAAATCTCATATATAATCAATAAATATAGTTGCAAATTGATTAAAATTACTTACCCAATAGTTTGGTATAAAAATCTCTCCACAAAATTGCCTCTCACCGAGTCTAGGGCTCGAAATATATTAAAATGAGACTAAGTTCCAAAATACAAAACATCTAACCAGGTGCAGATGTCATATTTGCAACCCTGGGTTCGCAAATCCGAAGCTGCAAAAGCGAACCCTGAGAATCTCTGCTAAAGTCGCATTTGCGACCAAAATCTCCGCAAATGTGAAGATCCTTTTCACCTAGTTGTCATCGCAAAAGCGATAGTTGTCTCGCAAAATCGAACAACATGTCTCTCGCAAAAGCGAAGAATTTCTTCGCAAATGCGAGTCCCTTCCCCAGCAACGCAGAATTGAAAAAGCGACTAGAACTCCGCAAATGCGATGGTAGCATTTGCGACCTTTACATCGCAAATGCGATGACACTAGTGCCAACACACAAAAGTTTAACAAAACAAATTCAAAACCAATCGGAAACTCACCCGAGCCCGAGGGGCTCTGCACCAAACATCCACAAAGTCTAAAAATAACATATGAACTCACTCGTCTAATCAAAACACCAAGATAACATCTTGAACCATGAATCGGACATCAAAATGCATGATTTTCAAAAGAAAACCAAGAACCTCTAGAATTGCAACCAAGCGTCTGAATCCTATCAAACCAACTCCAAATGACACCAAATTTTGCAGACAAGTTCAAAATAGCAAAAAATACCTATTCCAAGTCCCAAAACTAAAATCCAAAACTGATAGGCATAAATTCCAACCATGGTCAAACCTAAGGAATTTCTAAACCTTCAAACTGCCAACTTTCGGCAAAATATGCCAAATCAACATAGGAACCTCCGAATTCAATTTCAGAAATACGCCCAAGTCCAAAATCACCAAACAAAACTATTGGAATCATCAAAACATCATTTCGGATTCGTCTACACAAAATTGAAACCCCGGTCAATTATTACCACTTAAGCTTCTAAAACAAGAATCATTCTTCCAAATCAATCCCGAATCGCCCGAAACCTGAAATCGGCCATACACGCAAGTCATAATACATAATATGAAGATTCTCCAGACCTTAACCCACCTAAAGGAATGCTAAATCTCAAAATGATAGGTTGGGTCATTTCATTGATAGTCTTACCCTTCGAGATCATGTTGACTAGCTTACGACGTAACTTAACTTATGAAAATATAGGATGAAACATCCTCCCCACCCCCCTAGGAACATTCATCCTCAGATGTAGAGGCTTATAGGAGAGAAATTAATTCTTAAGCATTCTATGAAGATTTTGACAGGGTGTCACGTATAAACTGGACTTTACCTAACCTGCCACGTAGCCTGAAAATATACTACATTCCACACAGGGCCATAAACAAGCAATAATATCTCATTGTCCTCACATGGCCATTAAATATCAAATGGAATCATCATAAGTTGTAACTCACTTGATGAATAAGTAACTATGTCTCCAGCATTGCTATAATGCCTCAACTCTGAGGGTCACCTTCTTTATGGAACAAATGAGGATACTTGTTTCTCCATAATACTTTCATTGAAGCTACATCTTTGCCCCTCAACTTGTGGACCTGTCGGTCTAGAATGGCAACTAAAACTTTCTCGTAGGGCAAGTCCTCTATAATCTGAATATCATCTACTTGAACAACTTGCGAAGTGTCTCCAATACATTCTCATTTTATAGATGCATTAAACACTGAGTGAACAGGCTCTAATTCTAAGGGAAACTCTAGCTTGTAGGCCACTTGGCCTAACCCCCTAATGATTCTATAAGGCCCAATATATTTTCATCTGTAGACCATCCATAATCGACCATAATTGTGCACCTATATATTTCATAGTCCGTCCATAGGTCATGTACCCTCTGAATATGATGCAATGCAAATGACTTCTCACATGTCATATATATAAGTACATATACGATAAGCATTTTGAGGATCTTTGCTCGTTAACCTTAGGAAATGCTTAACTTGCTTCTTATAATACTGTCCACTTGTAGAATTGGTTTACTGAACTACTTACATAGAGAAAACTGCATTAGACTCTAAGGGTTTTTGTTGCAACCACTTGAAACGGAATACCATATATATTCTATCACATAGAGAACATGACTATATACTGATAGAAAGCTTGGTGATGGAGACACGAGATCACCTGAAGGATCCAACTGTGTACGAGTGGAAAATTGTGTTCCTTATTCGCTTATTCTTGTGGAATTCATAGAGAGGAAAAAAACATTTGACTCGACTTCAAATCGAGGAACATGGTATAGATCTATACTCTTACCCTTGTGTTTCTCGTTTTACATTTCTCAAACTTGTTCACTAATCTCTAGGTCAGTGTACTTTTGTAGAAGTCATATTTACCCAATCTAACATATCTCACCTAAAGAGAGATGTATACTGCTACTTTATACTTAAGGAAATGAATACTACTTAGAAATATGTTCTTGCTCTTCTACTATTCTTCCTTTGCTACTCCTCAAATATATATTCTAGCTTTCAGAATTATCCCATTCTCTTGGAGGATCATGCTTAACTACACCATTTTGGCTTGTTTTTGTATTACAATCCCATGGGTTGTTACGCTCTGTAAAAACTCGTATATCTCTATATAGTATGACTCGTCCTAAACGAAGTTCTATAACTCAATAGGGGGAATCTGAAGTCCATTAATCTATTTATTTTATATTACACTCTGTATCTCGTAACTATTTCTTGGACATCGATCGCATGATAGCATTTTTCTTAAACCCATCCTTTTTACTACTGTAGTGCTCTAGATCACAACTCCACTGTCAACTGAGTTCAATAATCGAACTCCTAAATTAGCTAGCTGATTTAATTCTCGGGCAACCTCTCTCTTCTCGGTCCCCCGAGTAAGATAAAGTGCCCATGGATCTACGACATCGGCTACTACATTAGCCCTTCCTGGATGGCATAAAACATCTATGTCATAATCTTTAATACTCAAGTCATCGCCTCAGATGCGGATTTAGCTCCTTCTATTTGAGGATATACTGATAACTCTTGTAATCTGTAAAGATGTCAACACGTTTAACAAATAAATAATACCTCCAACCTCAAGTGCGTGCACAACTACAGTTAACTCTAGATCATATGTCAGATAGTTCCTCTCATGATTTCTCTACTACATCGAAGTATAAACAAGTACATTTCCTTATTCATTATGACACTTGCAATATAAGTACGCTAAATAGTCTTAGTTCCAACACATCTTGGAACTTCCTGTATACATAAACTCCAACATCTCTCTTCATTCTAATTCTTCATCCAATGGACATGATAGACGATGAGTTACTAACTTACTCTCTTTTAGGATACATAAAAATTCTAAAGAACTTGGCGTTATAGGCTAATTTTTCTATAATGTCGTATCAGATCACTACACTTAGACCAAATTCTCCCTTTTTATATTTTGGCTAATGTCTATTGTCAATTGCACTTAGAAAATATTCTCTTGTTAATATTAAGTTGCAAGCTCATTACATCATGTACCTCGCAGAAGCTTAAGTGATCTTGAACTATCTACAATCATTCGTAATTTCTTTTCACTTCACCTTTACTCTATTAATATTACTTCTGAACACAATTTTTAAATGTCTACCTCATATACTAGGCTCAATCGTCCCCTTTTGACTTTTAAAATGCTTATACTAAACTTTATCTATCGTTGCATCTATCTGAAATACTTGTGAGAATTGTGAATATGCTTGGATTCACTATGTCATTTTGTATAATCTAATGACTTGTTTGTGAACTCTTGTTTAGCCACAACCGGGCCCTCCATAAGTAAATTATTAATTATTTCAATCGATTTGTCTCTACATCTCGATTCTGAGTAACTCCTATTGGGCTACATCTGTTTGCCTTCACTTATCCCTCCTACTAGTTTTCTGAACATTAAATACCTGGTTCCTTTTACCAACAATTGGCACCTCTAGCTATAAGATCATCATTTGTTTCTTCCTACCATTTTACTCACGTATGGTGCTAGAGTCGTGATGCAGCTGTAATGTCTGATTAAATACAATCCCAATCGTTTCCAACCTTTTCGGCATAATCCTTCTTGCCACTCTATCACTAAATGAAATGTGTGATTCTATTTTGACACTTCACTACACCATCACCCCCCCCCCCCCCCCCCCCAGGAGAGCAATTAACATCTTATGTTCTTGGATTCCGCTTCGCAGAGGTTAAGTTTTTACCTCTTCGACCTTCACAACCTTTCGCACTTCCATCATCTTAGAACTCACCTTAGGGTAATTTTCCCATACTAGGGCAGTCGAATCTCTTGCATGTATGGTGTGGTATGTATTCATAGCTTGCATACTTGATTTTGATGAGCTTAACTTTACCCATGCTGCTTGTCTCAGAGAACTCTCTTTTTCAATCACCCCCAAATTTTATTCTTCTCTCATTTATCCTTTCACCGCCTAATCTTTCATTTTTCGCTAATATTGTAATGCCAACTGCTGCAGTAATCCTTCGAGTCTATCTCGATATTAGCTTATTTAAGGTTACTCCCTAATACTAGTATCTCTAAGTCCAGGGGCTAAATCGGTCTTCTGGTAATTCTCATTAAGGTCGCCAATTCACTTGTCGTAATGAAACATAATCTTATGTCTTACATCTCTTTATAATCTCAAAACTTGCTTTCTCTTATCTCTTCTTCTACTAGACGACAAACCTTGTCGTACTACCAAACCTTAGCTTATGTTCTCTAATGATTTATCATATCTACTCATAACGCTTTACTTAGCCTTCTACCAATTTCCCTCTAACATTACCATCTCTTATCTTATACTGAAAAACTCCAACGAGGCGCTAGCTTCCCCTGCTTCATCCGGCCTTATTCTTTGGTCGCTTAATATTCCTTCTTTACTGGGAACATGGGCCACACTGAGGTAAATACCAATCTTATATGCATGGATTCGAATACCTAACCTCTGAATCTTCTAAACACTTGAGAAGTCATACCTGCCTATACAATTCCAGGGCACACCACTTATATGCCTGATAAAGAGGAACTATCGACATGTTCCTAATGCCGTTTAGTAATATTTTTGCTCTGAAAATCTATCCTTAGCCACGGGTTTCTCTAACCCTTATTAAAACTTGAAGGTCCATTTCTTTCTTGCGCTATATTTGTTGATACTCATAAGTCGTAAACTGGGAGGGGTGTTACTAACTGTACCCCTTTCACTGTTGAAGGTCAAATCATGACGCTTGTGTTCCTCTATCTGAACTCCAACTATTTTACAACCTTCTCCATTTAGGTATCTCGCCCCTTCTTTACCTTACCCCTTATAATTCTGAACTCACATTGTTACTGTCTGGTGTTCTCGTAGCCTTCTATCCGCATGGGCGTATTAGATATTCACGCCTTAAAGCTCTTAACATAAAACTTGTGCATCTGGTACACACATAATCTGGTAGGGCCTCAGTCTGGGCCACATCAACTGGACATGTATACTGGTATCCTTTCTACCGTTTTAGCCTTCTGTCTTGCTAGAGTCTTTCTAATCACTAGTATCTTTGTATACAAATATCAAACGTAAGTTTTAAACTCAACTCCTACGACTCGGCTCTACAGCATGATTTTGATCTAAAAGAAGGGTATCTTACTCCTAAATGCCTTGTAGCTTCCTATTTATATAATGTGGTGCACAACACACTTATAAACAATACTTTACTAGACACAGCTGTAAACTCCCAGGACAGACCTGCTTTGGTACCAAGTTCGTCACGCCCCAAACTAGGGGAGTCATGGCTGATACCCGATGCCTTACTTGACCCCGAGTGGACTAATTGTAACTCATATAACCTAAACATATACAACAATCTGAGATGACATGGACAATCCGCAACAGAAAAAATACTAACATCGACTGACAAGGCCACCATGTTGACAAACTAAAAATACAAGACACGTATGCAAGCCTCTAAAGCAAACATAATTGTTGTGGTCGGGACAGGGCCTCGGCCTACCCGTCGCGTTTATATATACCCAAAACTATGGACCTAGTAACTCCAGATGAAATGGAGCTAAACAATCAAGCTGGTACTCGACACATCTACTATGGAGGTCTGATTGGCTGTCTACAAGGCTTACATGCATGAAACACAGCATCACCGGCAAAAGGAACGTTAGTACAAAATAATGTACCGAGTATGTAAGGCATGATAAGAACATAATTAAAGACAACAATGTAAAGGAGAGTCGAGAAGGATTAACATATAACTCTGGATTGCCACTAAGGGCCATGATATGCATAGATATACCGTATACGCTTATATAAGGCCATCAGGATGCATATACCATATGTGCACGCATAAAGCGCCATTGGGCCCTGTAGTCATCATAATAATAATAATAACCAACTGACCAGTGGTGCTATGTACCATACATACGCGTATATAATGCTATCGAGATATATTCATATGCATATATGCATGAAGACCATTAAGATACATTATGGGCATGTCGGAGTGACATGAGGCCGTTACACCTCCGACTATCCTTATGTGGCTAACATGAAATTATACTTTCTATCATCAACCAACGAGAACAAGACATAAAGTACTTATGAAACATAGATGTGAAAATTGAGCATAATCATTTCTATTACTAAGAATAGAGCCATCTTTGGAAAGGAATGTTCGATTACGTTTCATTAAACTTAATCATTCCAAAAGAGGAAAGTTAGACGTAACATACCTTGCGAAATAATCTGCCCAACAACCACGATAAGCTATTTTCGCCACACCTTAATCTATAACAATGTAAACAACGCAATAGTCACACTACAAATAGTACTACTATCGTATTTCGAACTATAAATTTTTTTTTTTAAATAGAGTAGCATCTCCCATGTTTCTTCCAAATTACTCAAGTTAATTATAGTCACAATGATAACCCAAACAACCAACAACTCTATAATAAGCTTGCAACCCAAAAAATAATACAATAAGCGACAAGCTCGATTTACGACTAATAAAGTTATACCTTCAAACCCTTTATTCTTTCAAATACATGTCAACAACAAAAACACATTCAGGTTATCCCATAAACTTACGGCCATAAGATACCACAAGAACATTCTCAAAAAAGTTCAACAAGCAACAACAACACAACTACGATTTTCGACTGTTATTTCACGAGTTTTCAACTGTACAAGCTAGCTATGAATTATACAAGCTCAAATACATGTAGAAGGAACATGCTCTTACCATAAACCATACAAAAAACCTCCAAATCTGAGATTACTTCACTTTGAATAATTTTTCAAATCAACCACAAGAAGAACAACAATCTCACAAGCACCACGAGATTCCCGACATTAGATTCACGTTGTCTGCCTTGGTTTTTGCTCTTGGATCATAATAGAACTTTTAAAGAGGGTTCATAAGTGATTAGGATCTAGAACAAATGATAAATGATATTAAAAGGAGAATCCACCGAATATATACACTTTTAGAAATCTGCACCGCCTTATGTGGGTCCCAACAGGGCTGCTTGCACAGCCTCGCAAAAATATAAATATATCTCTACTCTGACGTCATATCTACGAACGGTTTAATGCGTTAAAAACTAAACTCGTAGAACTTAAATTTTGTGTGTTCATAACCCCATAAACATTTGGATAAAATCTTAGTGATATCAGACCCAAATTTCAGTAAACTTATGAACGTAACTTGCGATAACCTTTGACGACTTTTATTTTATAACTTACTTGACTTTAATACTTATCATATAAATATTATAAAATTCAAATACCTCATCACAAGATCTTATTAGCATATTAATAACTCCTAGTATTACCCCAAAAGTATGGGTTATAACATCAGCTCGTACCTCCAATGTACGATTCGTAAGTCACTTCATAAGTCGAGAAATTTCACTGCAACTTATTCTTTTCGATTCAATTAACTTATACCCTCTTCCAATATATACTTAATACTTATTAAACATGGTATAAACACGTATAATCTAAAAATATACTCTTACCTTTCGAGCTCATGTCGACTAGCTTATGACGCAACTTAACGTATGAAAATACGGGATGTAACAGACCAAGTCCATGCACTTCATATCGGTGTTGACTTCATGTAATTTGGAGAAGTTAGCTTATATTTACATACGATAGGTAGTTAGTTTTCATGGTGTGTCCATTTCTATCATTTTAGACTGTGGCACACAATTCACATCAAGATTTTAGAGAGCTATTTATCTGGAGTTAAGTACACGGATGGAGCTTAGCACAGCATTTCACTTGCAAATAGCTGGTCAGTCGGAGTGGACTGTTCAGATTCTGGAGGATATGTTGCGAGCTTGTCTGATTTATTTTAGAGGCCATTGGGATCTATTCTTACCTTTTGATGAAGTTTGCTTACAATAACAGTTATCAGTCCAGCATTCAAATGGCCCTATATGAGGCTTTGTATGGTAGACGGTGTGGTTCTCCTATTAGTTGGTTTGAGCCCGGTGAAACTAGATTATTAGGCATGGATTTGGTATGTCATGCTTTGGAGAAGGTGAAGTTAATTCAAAAATGACTTCGGACAGCTCAGAGCAGGCAGAAAGTTTATGTGGAAAAGAAGGCTCGTGATGTGGCATTCATAGAGGGTAAAAAGGTACTTTCAAAGGTTTCACCCACGAAGGGTGTGATGAGGTTTGGGAAGAAGGGCAAGTTGAGCCCGAGGTTCTTTGGCCCATTTGAGGTGTTGGAGAGAGTTGGTGAGGTTGCTTATAGGCTTTCTTTGCCTCCTAGCCTATCGGTGGTACATTCGGTATTTTATGTTTCTATACTTCAGATGTATAATGAAGATAAGTTGCATGTTTTAGACTTCAACATTGTGCATCTAGATGAGAATTTGGACTATGAAGAAGAGCTGCTAGCTAATTTGGATAGGCAGGTTAGAAGTAAGCCTTAGATTGCTTCGATGAAGGTGCTTTGGAAAGGACAACCGACCAAAGAAGCTACTTGGGAGACCGAGTCAGATATGCGGCACAAATATCCATGTCTTTCAGTAGTTCGGGTAAGTTTCTAAACCCGTTCGAGGACGAACGTTTACTTAAGAGGTAGAGAATGCAACTATCTGAATGGTCATTTTGAGTTCTACAATGCCGATTCCCCTATTGTAGACATCCCTTAAGTTGCATTGATCATTTATGGCTTGTGGGGATGGGAGATTTAGTTTTTGAGAGGTTCGGGAGTGATTTGGAACACTTAGTTCCTAAGTTGAGGCTTAATGTTGGAAGAGTTGACCAAAGTTAAAATAATGGGTAAGCGACCCCGGATTAGTATTTTGAAGGTTTCCATAGGTTCATATGATGATTTTGGACATGTACGTATACTTTGTTCGGGTCACAGGTGGCATGGGGTTGATTCAGCGCTTCTAGTCGAAAGTTAGAATTTTGAACTTATGAGAATTTGAGATTCTTGGTTTTGATGTTGTTATTGGTGGTTTGAGCCTTTGGAAACGTTTGAATCGAGTATACAGACTTGTTAGAATAATTGGATGGGGTCATGAAGGGCTCGGGTGCATTTCGAGATAGTTTTGGATCATTTTGAGCTAAGTGGATTGTTGGTTTTTCTACTGCCAGTGGTGCTCTTCATGATCGCGTGGTATGTGAAATGATCCCGTAAAAGGTTTTGGTAAGGGTGGTCTTATTCTTAGTGATCGCGTGGCTAGGCTCACGATCGCGGAGCATTGGCTGGCGAAGAATCATGATCGTGTGGGCTAGTTCACGATCCCGTAGGAGGATTCTGGGGACCGAGGCTTGTTTCCTTCATGATAGCATAGGGAGGCTCACGAACGCATAAGTGCCTACTTATTCTTAGCAATCGCGTGTCTAGGCTTGTGATAGCCGAGTGTTGGCTGGCAAAGCATCATGATCGTGTGGGCTAGTTCACGATCCCGTAAGAGATTCTGGGGACCGAGGCTTGTTTCCTTCACTATCGTATATGGAGGCTCACGAACGCGTAGGTGTCTGCTGGTGGTTCATCGTGATCGTGTACGTGCTGGTCGCGAACGCAATTCACATTTTGGTTGCAGTGGTATTTTATGTCCAAATATTTAGGATATAGCTCATTTTTACCACTATTGAGTTTTGGAGAACAAGATGGGGAAATTTTGAAGAGGGATTTACTAGGATCGTGAGGGTAAATAATTTTTACTTGGATTTGATCATATATCTTAATTCTCCATGAATTTCGACACCTAAAAAATGGAATTTAAGAGTAAAATTTGAGGGTTTTGTCTACAACTTAAGAGAGTGTATTTTGAGGTTTTGAACACGGATTTGGACTCGGATTTGGAAACAAATCACATATTTGGACTTGTGGGGTTATGAGTTAATAAGATCTAGTCCTAGAGTCGGGTTTTGACCATGTGGGCCTGGGTTGAATTTTTGAGAATTAATTAATGATTGAACTTTATTATTTGGAATTGGTTTCTATGACTTTATTTGACCTCGTTAAGTATTGTTTGTCCAGATTCGGAGCATTTGGAGGTCACAGATAGAGGGAAGGGCTTATTGGGCGATTGATTCTTTTTCCGAAAGAGGTATGTATCCTGCCTAATATTGGTTTGAGGAAAAACACCTTAGGATATGACATGGTTGCTAATTGTAATGTGTTGGGTGTAATGTAATAAGAGGTGACGAATGTATATGCGGGTCCATGATATTTTTCATGCTCGGGGTAGACTTTAGGCTTCATTTTGCCTTGTTTGGTCATGTGTCCTTCTTGACTTATACTTTATTTGATTGTATGTCTACGTGAGCCTATTTGTTCATACTAGACATTATGTTTAGGCTTATGGATTTTTTATTGGCATGATGGCCTATTATTGAGATGTCGATCTACTTGATTTAGTCGTAGCCATATGTTATATTATGAACACACATTCCCACCTTTATTTATTATGTCCTTATGCATATTATTGGTTATTTTATGAGCATATGCATTCGTTCTTGAAAATGAAGAACTTGTTTCGGATTGATATGATTATGTCACCTTTGAACATTATGAGTGGATTGATGCTGATATGGAACGAAATTTTTACCGTGAGATTGTTGTGATATTGATATTATTATGGTACGAGGTCTTTGCTATGTAGCTTGTGGATACATATCCATTCCCCTAGGGTCTCCCTCCCATGTTTCTCTCTTAGTAGAGTACACACAGATTGGTGAGACATTAATGAGTATCGGTTTTTTCATGGTATTGGCAGATGAGTCGGTCGTAAAGGTGGAAGCTTGACATCATAATTGAATCATCTATGTCATATAATGCATTCTATATGATTTCTATTCATATCGTCTAATATGCTACTTGATACCTCTATTACATGAATTGTTTCTAATAGGTGAGTTAGTACGATTCATGATTTAGATCTCTAATTCATAGTATATCTCTTTCCATTCTCTTGCTACATATATGCTTGATCTATTCAAGAATATCTATTAGTAAGCCTTATATGACTTGAACCTCGTCGCTACTTCACTGAGGTTAGTCTTGATACTTAGAGAGTAAACATTGTCTCTGTACTCATATTACACTTTCGCATATTTTGTGCAGAATCTAGTATCTGCACCAGTGGATCTCAGGACGGTGCTAGTAGCTGATTCAAGAGATGCCATATAGTGTTGCTCGATCGACCGCAGACCCTTGAAGTCATATTCTTTTTATTATATATTGTTTATCTTATTCAGATAGTACTCTTGTAGTTTTGAGATTCAGTCGTAATAAAGATGGTTTATCTTTATTACATTTTATCTATATCATGATAGCACTTTATTCTATATTTAACTTGTTTTAGTTTATTATGATTATTATCTTACCTAGTGTATTGGGTTGGGTGTCATCACGGCTACGGTGGAATTTGGGTTATAACAGGTATGGAGACGTCTATAATTATATCCGAGAGATTATAAGGCATTTAGGAAATTTTCCTTCTTTCTTTCCTTATCGTGTGACTTTGTTTCATATTGACGTCTGAATTTGTATCCTTTTATTCTCTCACAGATAGTGAGGACATGTGCATTGGTAACTGCTAAGCAGAAGCTAGTACTCCAGGCTAGAGCCGAGAGAGGTAGGGGCGGGGCCAAGAAATGGAGCTTAGACTAGAGCACATATGGAAGCCAAAGATTTGGAGGCAATACTTGTATGGTGTGTCTTGTAAAATCTATGCTAATCATCGTAAGAAGCATTGGGGAGGGTGTGGAGATCGAGAATTAGGGTAGATAGTTAGTAGGTCGTTCGAGTGTTTTTCTGTTCCTTACCAGGGTCACCATGGTTAGTTTGATAGTGTCTGATTCTTAAACTACTAGTATTACTTGTTGTTTTCCTACTATCTTGTTTTTCGCTTCGGTTTCCTAGTATCTTGGCATTGTTACTGCTGGTTGCTAT